CAAAAGGAAGCTCTAAAACCATAGGGGCCATACATTAAATGCTCAATTTGTCATGTGTTACCAGAGATATATAATGCTGATGGATTGGGATCCTTGCAATCTTACATTATTATTATTATATTCACAAGGAAGTGCTAGACCCACAAGGGTCATATGAGGAATTTCAGGTAATCAGATTTGATCCAAGGAAAAATAAGACTGCTTCAGTTACTTAGCACTGAATGATTCATACGGTCGTGGAACTGTTGAATATATGAACACTTTAATTCCTTGGATCAAGAGCCCTTTACCAGCATCAAAGCAATTCACTAACTAACCCATTATTGTTCATGCGGAAGCATTAAACTCTCAGGGCTAACACAGCACCTGGAGGAATGGAAGGCAATCAGGCTCGATCTAAGGGAAGGCAGGTCCAATTCCTTGGATCAAGAGCCTTCGTCATCAAGTAACCTCCCACGAGGAAATTAAACCAGTTCCATGGATCAAGAGCCCTTCACTATCCCCAAGTAACCTCCCACTAGGAAATTAAACCAGTTCCATGGATCAAGAGCCCTTCACTATCCCCAAGTAACCTCCCACGAGGAAATTAAACCAGTTCCATGGATCAAGAGCCCTTCACCATCATCATAAAACAGGTGAGTACAAAGAGGAAGAGCGTCTGTCTCGCAGTCAGCAGACGGAGGATCAAGCCCCCACCACATCTTGTGCTGAATGACCCACACGGGTTTAGCGCTTAACGTGAATTATATTAAAATTATTATTATTATTCACCATCACCAAATAACCTCCCACGAGGGAATTAAGTCACTAACTTGGATCAAGAGCCCTTGTCTTACCTTAGATAACGGCAGCTTGGAATAAGTAACAATAACTCTCAATGGATTAACACCTTTCTGGAAGAGCACCTCACCAACTTTGGCCACAATATTCCCAAAATATTCATTGAGAATTTTGTAACAAACTTTTTGTAAGTAGTAAGACATTTTTCAGAGGGTTTGTTATTGTTATGGTTGTTAAGGGCTCATACGGCTCATGCTGTGTATAAGGGTCACCATGGTTCTCTATAATTAAGGGTCACCATGGTCCTCTCTATATTTAAGGGTCACCATGGTTCTCTATATTTAAGGGTCACCATGGTTCTCTATATATTTAAGGGTCACCATGGTTCTCTCTAAGGATCACCACGGTTCTCTCTATATTTAAAGATCACCATGGTTCTCTCCATATTTTAGGATCACCATGGTTCTCTCTGCATTTAAGGATCACCATGGTTCTCTGAGGATCACCACGGTTCTCTCTATATTTAAAGATCACCATGGTTCTCTCCATATTCTAGGATCACCATGGTTCTCTCTGTATTTAAGGATCACCATGGTTCTCTTCATATTTAAGGGTCACAATGGTTCTCTCCATATTTAAGAGTCACCATGGTTCTCTCTATATTAAAGGGTCACCATGGTTCTCTCTATATTAAGGATCACCACGGTTCTTTCTGTATTTAAAGGTTACCACGGTTCACTCAGTATTAAGTGTCACCGTGCTTCTCTCCATATTTAAGGCTCACAATGGTTCTCTCCATATATAAGGGTCACTACGGTTTTCTTCATATTTAAGGGTCACAATGGTTCTCTTCATATTTAAGGCTCACCACGGTTCTCTTCATATATAAGGGTCACTACGGTTCTCTCCATATATAAGGGTCACCACGGTTCTCTTCATATATAAGGGTCACTACGGTTCTCTTCATATTTAAGGGTCACCACGATTCTCTCCATATATAAGGGTCACTACGGTTCTCTTCATATTTAAGGGTCACCACGGTTCTCTCAATATATAAGGGTCACCACGGTTCTCTTCATATTTAAGGGTCACCACGGTTCTCTTCATATATAAGGGTCACTACGGTTCTCTTCATATTTAAGGGTCACCACGGTTCTCTCAATATATAAGGGTCACCACGGTTCTCTTCATATTTAAGGGTCACCACGGTTCTCTCCATATATAAGGGTCACTACGGTTCTCTTCATATATATGGCTCACCACGGTTCTCTCAATATATAAGGGTCACCACGGTTCTCTTCATATTTAAGGGCCACCGTGGTTCTCTCCATATATAAGGTCGCCACGGTTCTCTTCATATTTAAGGGTCACCATGGTTCACGCCATATTGAAGGGTTAAAACAGTTCCTACTGTATCTAAGGGTTACGATAGGATCAGATTTATTGGGATTTTTACCCTGGGGGAAGGTTAGCCACCCAGGATAACCCGGGGGAGGGTTAGCTTAGCCACCCAGGATAACCCGGGGAAGGGTTAGCTTAGCCACCCAGGATAACCCGGGGGAGGGTTAGCTTAGCCACCCAGGATAACCCAGGGGAGGGTTAGCTTAGCCACCCAGGATAACCCAAGAAAATCAGTGTACTCACCTGATTGTGGTTGCAGGGGTCAAGACTCAGCTCCTGGCCCCGCCCCTTCACTGAACGCTACTAGGTCCTCTCTCACCTTGCTCCATGAGCCTTTTCATACCTCATCTTAAAGCTATGTATAGTTCCTGCCTCCATTACGTCACTTGCAAGACTATTCCACTTCCTGACTATTCCATGACTGAAGAAATACTTCCTGACGTCCCTTTGACTCATCTGGGTCTTCAACTTCCGGTTGTGACCCCTTGTTTCTGTGTCCCCTCTCTGGAACATCCTGTCTCTGTCCACCTTGTCTATTCCACGCAGTATTTTGTATGTCGTTATCATGTCTCCCCTAACCCTCCTGTCCTCTAGTGTCGTCAGGCCGATTTCCCTTAACCTTTCTTCGTAGGACATTCCCCTTAGCTCTGGGACTAGTCTTGTTGCAAACCTTTCCACTTTCTCTAATTTCTTGACGTGCTTGATCAACTGTGGGTTCCAGACTGGTGCTGCATACTCCAGTATGGGCCTGACGTACACGGTGTACAGTGTCTTGAACGATTCCTTACTGAGGTATGGGAACGCTATTCTCAGGTCTGCCAGGTGTCCATATGCTGCAGCAGTTATCTGGTTGATGTGTGCTTCAGGAGACGTGCTCGGTGTTATACTCACCCCAAGATCTTTCTCCTTGAGTGAGGTTTGCAGTCTTTGGCCACCTAGCCTATACTCCGTCTGTGGTCTTCTTTGCTCTTCCCCGATCTTCATGACTTTGCATTTGGCGGGGTTAAAACGAGAAGCCAGTTGCTGGACCAGGTGTCCAGCCTGTCCAGGTCTCTCTGTAGTCCTGCCTGGTCCTCATCTGATTTAATTCTCCTCATTAACTTCACATCATCTGCGAACAGGGACACTTCAGAGTCTATCCCTTCCATCATATCATTCACATATACTAAAAATAACACTGACACTGCAAGGCTTCAGGCGGACATCAACTAAATCTTTCAGTGGGCTGCAGAAAACAATATGAAGTTCAACGATGAGAAATTTCAATTACTTCGATATGGTAAACACGAGGAAATTAAAACTTCATCAGAGTACAAAACAAATTCTGGCCACAAAACAGAGCGAAAAACCAACGTCAAAGACCTGGGAGTGATCATGTCGGAGGATCTCACCTTCAAGGACCATAACATTGTATCACTCGCATCTGCTAGAAAAATAACAGGATGGATAATGAGAACCTACAAAACTAGGGATGCCAAGCCCATGATGACACTCTTCAGGTCGCTTGTTCTATCTAGGCTGAAATATTGCTGCACACTAACAGCACCTTTCAAGGCAGGTGAAATTGCTGACCTAGAAAATGTACAGAGAACCTTCACGGAGCGCATAACGGAGATAAAACACCTCAATTACTGGGAGCGCTTGAGGTTCCTGAACCTGTACTCCCTGGAACGCAGGTGGGAGAGATACATGATTATATACACCTGGAAAATCCTAGAGGGACTAGTACCGAACTTGCAGACGAAAATCACTCACAACGAAAGCAAAAGACTTGGCAGACGATGCAACATCCCCCAATGAAAAGCAGGGGTGTCACTAGCACGTTAAGAGACAATACAATAAGTGTCAGGGGCCCGAGATTGTTCAACTGTCTCCCAGCATGCATAGGGGGGATTACCAATAGACCCCTGGCTGTCTTCAAGCAGGCACTGGACAAGCACCTAAAGTCGGTACCTGACCAGCCGGGCTGTGGTTCGTACGTTGGATTGCGTGCAGCAAGCAGTAACAGCCTGGTTGATCAGGCCCTGATCCACCAGGAGGCCTGGTCACAGACCGGGCCGCGGGGGCGTTGATCCCCGGAACTCTCTCCAGGTAAACTCCAGGTCCTAGGACCGACCCTTGTGGGACCCCGCTCATCACAGGTGCCCACTGTGATACCTCATCACGTACCATGACTCCTCGTTGCTTCCCTGTCAGGTATTCTCTGATCCACTACAGTGCTCTTCCTGTTATATGTGTGTCATCGAGGACTGTCTGTCCTGTTTCCACTGTAGTCCATTCCCAGGATGCCACTCACACCTGTCCACTAACACCCAGGTGCCTACGTACTGATAGGTGAAATGTGACAACAGGTGTAAGATAACTAAAACCCAGGTACCTACTTACTGCTAGGTGACAGCAGGTGTAAGGAAACATTCCCAATGTTTCTACCCGGCCGGGGATCGAACCCCGGACACTCAGTGTGCCAGGCGGAGCGTTGCCTACCAGGTCACTGAAAAACGATTATAACAGAGTTTAATTAATTGAAAATATATTAAGAAATGAAGATTCAGGCTTATTAATGCTCTGTTGTGCGCAATGTTCCAGGTATCATGTTAAACCCAGATTAAAAGAAAACATTCTCTATTTTGTATCTAGTTAACGTTTAAGAGTTGTAGTTTACTGTAATAATTAATATTAGTATTAATAAAAGATAATAAATGGGTTTGAACCATTATTAAGAATTTTAGAAGAATGTTGTTTTAGAGTAGTATTTAAAGATCAAAATTTGGAGGGAAGTAGCAGGCATGGCGACCGTAAACAGCAGCTTATTTTCCTGTTTGTGGCCCGTATTTTAAGCCAGAATATATATTCTTGCTGCTAAACAAGTGAGTTTACGACTAATGTTACTATGTATGGCAGCTAGGGAAAACTCCATGCTTTTGTTGCAAAGATTTTTTTATATAATAGTCACCTGGTTAAGTAACTCCAAACTGACACGTGTATTTTATTCCATTAAATTATATGTACTTAGAAAATTGTTCTGTTATAGTCAGTAATTATAGATTCATAATTAGGCCTACGTGTAGGATAAATAATGATGAAGTGAGAAATATTGTGCTATAACAATGCAAATTTGTCAAGCCTCTCACGATATTTTTTTTTAATTTTTTTCACATTTTTGTACCCTTTATTTTGCATAATTTTGATATTGTAATGTCATAATTATAAGTACTCTATGTGAAAGGATAATTTACTTTGTCTCAGTTATGTCAAATTATCATTAATTTTTTTTAGTTATTTTATGACAAAAAAATATCTTCTTATTATTTTTATTTGTTTTATTTTCTTGTTCTCTAAGTAAAGATTTGGTGTTTTATTTTATTTTTTTTTGTAGGAAAATTAGCATCGACCAGATGGCTGGGGGAAAAAGCCAGCTGTGACTAACCCAGATGCAGTAAATGACAAAGCCAGCTGTAACCCAGATGTAGTAAGTGACAAAGCCAGCTGTGATTAACCCAGATGAAATTAGTGGCAAAACCAGTTTTAAGTAACCCAGCTGCAGTAAGTGACAGAGCCAGCTTTGACTAACCCAGCTGCAATAAGTGACAGAGCCAGCTTTGACTAACCCAGCTGCAATAAGTGACAGAGCCAGCTTTGACTAACCCAGCTGTAATAAGTGACAGAGCCAGCTTTGACTAACCCACTGCAATAAGTGACAGAGCCAGCTTTGACTAACCCACTGCAATAAGTGACAGAGCCAGCTTTGACTAACCCAGCTGTAATAAGCTTGACAGCAGTGAGGCCAAATCCTAGTGTGATCCAACCTGGTCAAATATCCTTCAATAAACGGAGAATGAATGA